GAAATATTTCTTAAAAATATTTCAAGTACGTTAGGTTTAATAGTATTTCGCTTTTTAAACAATATTATTTTTGAAAACAATATTAAAACGAACACGAAATCATAAATTTCGGATATAACAAAAGTGTGTAAATTTCACTTGATATGCAAGAGAAATGGCTTCCGGGTCCAATGGACCCCGCTTGCCCGGATAAAGGTTAAGTATTTTGTTCGCACACACGTTCGGGGCAAGTTTACCTCATTCTTCACTAATCGATGATTTATGCTTTTAAGTTACGATGACCGCTTCTCTGCCTTAGTTTTAAGTAACCATTCCTGCAATTGATCAGGGATCGAAATCTCGTTGTTTTCTTCAATTAAATTTTTTCGAAGCTGTGTTCTATACAAGTAAAAATAATAATCTCACCGTTTTCTATGAATATTTTATGAACATTCGGAGAGAATAATTAAATTCAATTTATATTCAATAAATATAAGTTTTTTAATTGCGTATTTCCGGGGACTATTTTCCTCTCTTCTTCTCTTTTCCTCAAAGAGTTTACCCACCTCGTTCGATCCCTGCAATTGACAATTGTTCATTGAATACCTCGATGCACGCCTCGGATATATCTCGTTTAATAACGATCACTATTAGCGTTCGATCTGTTATTTTCCGGTAATGGATCGACAGAGCCGAGACGCGGCAGCGACCTTAAGTAGCAGGTAAAAATTTTGAAAAATCATCTCGGACCTTTTTGCACACACTCCCTCGTCGCGCCGGCCGTACATCATCGCCAAAGCCGATAAGCCTCCGACGGCGAATTTCGTTATTAAGCCTGAGGGGTGAAAGCATCAGTTATCTCTCTCTCTCTCTCTCTCTCTCTCTCTCTCTCTCTCTCTCTCTCTCTTCCTCACTCTCTCGGGAGAGAGTACAATCGAACGAAATGACCTGCCAGGCTGCGCATAATTTATAGGAGCCGCGCGCTCGAGAAGCCAATCACCTGATCGGTCTGTCGCGACAATCGCTTCGATTATTTCGCGATTACCAGGATCGTCATTCAGCAAGCCGGATTTCTGTGTGTGTGCGCCGAGTCTCGCGTTTTCCTATCCCCCGCGTATACGTACAAATGCGATTTCCTATTTCAACTTTATTCACTCGCTATGTCGTACACGTAACCGTTGTTGCGGCAATAAATATCGGTTTACTCATACGCCCTTGCGCGTCGCTCTACATAATTTCTTACGATCGAATTCAGCGCGAGCGCATACATTTCCGCTCACCCTCGGCGGAGGAGGGGCTCGGGGAGCCCGTGGCGAATTGACTACCGGATTCGCGCGGGTTTGCGCGAATGCTCGCAATATTTTCAACTCGGGGGGG